TGGATGGATGGATGGATGGATGGATGGATGGATGGATGGGTGAGTGGGTGGTTGGGTGGGCAGGTGGATGGATGGATGGGTTGGGGGTGTGTGTGTGGATGGATGGATAGATGGATGAAAGATTTTGCTGACTGAATGCAGTAAGAAACTGTCTTAGTCAGAGGCACAAACACAGATCCCATGTGTTTAGGCTTGGCTCATGGGGTTGGGGGACCAGCCCAGTCTTATGCTCAGCTACTCCCCCTTCTTGCTCTGTCCCTTCCAGGCCATCTTCTTGTAAATGAACCAGGACTGTATTTGTAGAGTTGGAAAAGAGCTCCCAGCATGAAAGTCTTCTTAAGGAGAGCACAGAATGAATACACCTGGGCTCCTGCAGGCCCAGCGCTGTACTTACGCTGACTGTAGATATTCACAAGTCCTTGCAGGTGCTCTAGGGGCTGAGGCCATTGCTCTTCCTCTTAGCAGGAATGAGGAGACTGAGATGCAGGGGGACTGAGTGCCTTCCTCCAAACCCTGCAGCAGGAAGCAGCTGAAAAGGGTTCAAACCCCGGTGGGCTGGGGCATCCATGCCCCTACCAATGTTCTTGGCTCTGGTGGAAACAGCTCTGTTCTTTGACAACCCCACTTAGTAATCCCAGTTTTCCTATCAGCGCAGTCAGGGCAGCCTCCAGTAGGCTTTTTTCCATCTGGGTGACCCTTAAGTATCCACGTGGCAGCTGGCCAGGTTGGGGAGACATACCCTAAACATCCCTTGGGAAGAGAATTTTGTGACTCCTCCATCCTCGGGTCTGTAGTGGGAAGGGCAGAGGAAGAGCTCAGGTCTGAAAGAGGAGTCACCAGCTGTCACCTTTATTCTCCAGAAGGAAAGCCATGGGGGACTTTCTTCTCAGGTGAAGGGACGTAGAGAGGCATGCTGAGATAGGACAGCAAGTGACAAAGAGAAGTCAAGAACATGCGGTGGCTTCACCCTCCCCCACCAGCCTCAGGTGAGGAGACCTAGGAGGACACAGCCCCCACGTCCACTTGGCTGGCTCTTTCTTGTCATTCAGTGACAACTCCGATGTTACTCCCCAGAGATGCCTTCCCTCATCACCAGGGCAACGTCCACTCTCCCCACCTGCCCAGCTCTCTGTCACGGTCCTCGTGGTGTGTAACGCCCTCTGACACTGGCTTGTCTTATCTGTGTCCTCGAACTGTGCTGGGCTCGACAGAAACCCTGCTCTCCACTGTGTCCTGCCCTGTTCCCCATGAGTGTTTAATACAGATTTATGAAGTGAATGACCAGGAGTGCCCATGAGTGCTTGTTAACACTCCCAGCAAAACACCAGTTACAGACAAGCTCCAAAGACCAGGTGTGTTCTGTTTGGTATTCCTGTTTGATGCTGTACCCCTTCCATTTTACATACACCCAGGAGGTGAGACACTAGCGACTATCTTCACATCAGATAGATTAGAAACAGTCTGAGTTATGCAGATGAACATGTTGTGCATTGCCCAGCTCCAGGAATTGTCATCCACGCTGGAGTACTGGACAATAGCACTCTGTAGAGTTATGCAGTGTACAACATGTGCGCCTGAACACTCAACTCTGACAGCCGTACAGAGAAAAAGTATGACAATAGGAAGAGAGACACAGGGAGAGAATTCACTTTTGCACAAAAAGGGTTGATATCAACCTAAGTGGTCATTTACTTTAACTCTCTCCTTCTCATTTTTTCCAAAATTTTAAAATTATAATAAATATTGTACATTATCACCACCACTCATTTCCAGCACTGTTTTCATCTTGCAAAGCTGAAATTCGCAGTCATTAAACAATAACCTCCTACACCTCTCCCCAAGCGCCACAGCCCCATTCTACTTCCTCAGATTTTGATGACTCTAGATACCTCACAGGTCTGCAATTATTCTATACCCTGTATTACTCAGCATCCTATACTACTCAGTACTGTTTTTGTGACTAGCTTTTTTCACTTAGCATAATGTTGTTGGGTCAATCCATGTTGTAACCCATGTCAGAATTTCCTTTTAATGCTGAATAATATTTTGGGACATATATTTTTCCTCTCATCTTACAAATAAGGAAAAAGAAAGAGGCTCTGAGAAGTGAAATCACTTTACAAAGGAAAATCAGCCAGCCAAGGAGCCTCGCAAAGTGCCTGCAACACCAATACCCTCCGGTCTGTGGCTATGCATTCTGTCAGCTTGCAGCGAGTGGGTAAGGGAGATCCGTCACACCACAACGCTGCATGTTTAGGAGTTACAGTTCCCAAGGGCAGAACCCAGGTCTCCAGCTGAAGGAGCTGCAGATGAGATAGTGCCTGTCTAGTTCTCCATCGCAGCCCCTGCCTCTGCCCATGCTCAAGGTGGGTATGAAGTGGACTTTTGGACAAGAACAGCTAACCTTGCTGGTCTTGATAGCACACGCCTATCCTACCTGTTTGGGAGGCTGAGGGAGGAGGATCACAAGTTTAAGTTTAGCCTGGGGAAGTTAGAGAGATGCTGTCTCAAAATATAAAATGAAAAGGGGGCAGTGATAGGTGCCCCTGGGTTCCGTCCTCAGTGCCACAAAAAAGAAACAAAAACAGCGAACCTGTACTAGGTGCTTCCTGCCTGCCAAGCGCTATCTTAAGCTCTTCACCACTTTACACATATAAATTCACAGAACCCTCTCAACACCCTTATCAATCATCAGTCTCATGGGGAAACTGAGGCACAGAGTGGCTAAGTAACTCACACGTGACACACAGCTAGTCATGCATAAATGAGGCTGCTATGGCACCATGGAGTCCTCCTGAAATGTCCCCCCTGGGACATCAGAGGGCACAGAGGCCAGCCCACTGGAGGCTGGTGAGCTGCTCAGCGTTGGGACAGGGACGCCTCAGACAGAGGGGAGAAGGGGCCCCTCTTTCTGCTCTCACTGGCACACCCAGTGGTCTGGGAAGGACCTTGAGAGTGTCCCAAGATGAGACTGAGGGCTGTGGTCAGCGGGGGCCAGCAGGAGGAGCCGTGGAGGAAGTGTATTTTGCTTGCTATTCTGGAGGTGCTAAGTGGGAAGGTGGCAGCGCCCTCGCACACGCGCGCGAGCTCACACACACACACACACACACACACACACACACACACACACACACACAGTGTCTCGGCTGACAGGAAGAGGAAATGCCTCGCATTTCCCAGCCCCTTGTCGCCAGGCCAAGCCTAAATACCAGCCCTAAAAATACAGCCTGGAAGCAGAGTGATGCTAACAGCTCCCTCCTGTCTCCATCACCCTTCCCCTCCCGCCTCAGGTTTATTTTTGAATGGGGACAGACAGGAGGGAAAGGAGCCCGATGCTGGGAAACCTGAGCGTTTTTCTTTCATGTCTCTTTCCATTCAGGTTTCTAGAAGAGGAGAGAAGGCCAGGAGTAAAGCTGGGCTGCTCGGGTACGGGAGGAAAGGGGCAAAGAGACACACACAGACCCTGTAGAGTGACTCAGAGGCCCCATAGGTCAGGAGGATTTGTTCAGCTTAGCACCATACCAGGCTCAGTGCTGGAACAACCGTCCCTGATTCCAGGCACTCATGGGCTCATGGGGCACACACACCAAACACCAGAAAGGAAGGCTCTGTGCCCAGGGCCAACTCCAGGTCCTCCAGCCAGTCATGAAGGGTCGCCTCTCTGAGCTTAGCAAGCCAACCAAAGCCAAGGATAAGAGAAGGACTGAACACCTGCCCGCTCCCTGTGCCTAGAGGTAGGGCGAGGGTGTCCACTGTCCTGCTTCCTATTACACACAGCACTGAGGGTGAAGCCAGAGCAATAAAGCAAGAAAACAAAATTAAAGGCATCCAGGTTGGAAAGGAAGAGGCAAATTTTTCTTTATTTGCAGATAACATGATAGTCTATGTAGATAATCCAGTAGAACCTCCAATAAGATGCTAGAATTATTGAGTCTGAAGGATATGTAACTTAGGCCCAATATTTAAAAAAATCAATCATAAATGGATAAAGAAGATTTTTTTATACAATGGAATACTACTCTGCCATAAAGAAGGATAAGCCTGAGACAGTCCTAGGTAAATGGATGCACCTTGAAAATATACTCTTAAGTGAGGGGCTGGGGATTTAGCTCAGCGGCAAAGTGCCTGCCTGGCAAGTGCAAGGTCGAGAGTTTGGTTCCCGGTACCAGAGGGAAAAAAAAAAAAAAAAAAGAAAGAAAATATACTCTTAAGTGAAGTCAATCTGACAGAGGTGTAAATGCCACATTGTTTCTCTGATGTGGGAAACTGAAAGTGTAAGTAAGGACCAAAATATATATTAGGTATTGTGAAATAAGAAGAAAAAAATCAATTGTATTTTTATACTTAGTAACACTTTCAAAAAGTGAAATTGAAAACACTATCATATATAACATGAAAAAATTATTAAATATTTAAGAATAAATTTGCCAAAGGATGGGTAAGATCTGTACATTGGAAACTACAAGCATTAATGAAAAAAATTAAAGGACTAAACAAATGGAAAGATGTGCTGTGCTCGTGGATTAGAAAACTTACTCTTGTAAAGACATCAATTTTTCCACAATGTCGATGTGTAGATTCAATAGAATTCCAATCAAAATCTCAGTGGGTTTTTTGATAGAAATTGACTAGTAGATTTTACAATTTTTATGAAAATACAAAGGACCTAGAACAATTGAAACAATTTTTAAAAAGAACAATGTTAAAAAAAAACTTGCTCTATCTGATTTTATGACTTATTATAAAGCTATATTGACAGTATGGTTTTGTAATAATGACAAATAGATTGATGGAATGCAATAGAGTCCAAAAGTAGATCCACACATATATGGTCAGTTGCTTTTTAACATAAATGCTAGGAAATGAGTAAAGGATAATCTTTTCAGCCAACTGTTCTGAAGCAATTATATACCCATAAGGAAGGAAGGGAGAAAAGAAGGAAGGAAAGAAGGAAGGAAGGGAGGAAGGAAGGAAGGAAGGAAGGAAGGAAGGAAGGAAGGAAAGAAGGAAAAGGAGGGGGAAGGAGAGAGGGAAGAAGAGGCAAGGATGAAAGAGAAAAGGAGAAAAAAAACTTGTATTCATAGCTTGCAATATATAAAAATTGGCTCAAGGGTCATAGATATATAATATAATGTAAACTTACAAAGCTACTAGAAGAAAACATAGATGAGATCTTAATGACTTTGAGTTTGTCAAAGATTTTGTAAATGTGATGTGGAAAAGCACAGACTATAAAAGAAAAACTAAATTGGGTTTCATCAAAATTTTTAAAGTTTGCTCTTCAGTAGATATGGTCACGAAAATGAAAGGGTAAACCACATACTAGGAAAGACATTTGCAGTACATTTATTTATCCAACAAAGGCCTTGTATCTACACTAGATAAAGAACTCTTATAATTCGAGAAGACAACAAACAACCCAGTTTTTAAAATGGCTAAAAGTTTAAACTGAGAGTTCACCAAAGTAGATACACTGCCACATAAATAAACACACAAAAAGATGACCAGCATCATTTGTTATTACGGAAAAGCAAGTTAAAGACGTGACTACACCACTAGGATGGATAAAACTGAGGTGCACAGACTAACCACACCAAGCCCTGGCCAGCATGGGGAGGCACATACTGTTGTCGAGAACGGTCCCCCACTTTTGAATATACCGTGGCAGATTCTTCCCACCTCTGGGTATTTATCAAAGAAAATGAGAGCATGTGTCTACACAACTATGCAATCACAAATGTTCGTAGCAGCTTTATATGTAAGAGACAAAAACGAAACAACTGAAATGCCCACCACAGATGACCGATACAGACACGATAGAGAACCACGCAGCAATGAAAGATGAGGAGCTCTTGACACACACGATAGCCCAGACGATCAGCAAGATAATTAGGCTGAGTGAAAAAAAAAATCAGACTCCCCCCAAACTACACACTATATTGTCCCATTTATAGAACATTATAGAAAACGTAACTCATCTCTAGTGACAGAACGCAGACCAGCTTTTGAGGGGGTTGATGGGTTCATTATCTTGATTGTGGCAACCATTTCACAGTGCAGACGTCAAAATTTGTCACAGTGGACGTTTTAAATATGTGCAGGTTATCGTTCATCAGTTATCCCCCATAAAGCTGTAAAAAAAGTGTTTATCAACAGCTTGGGATGGGCCCAGGCAAGCATCCTAAAGCATTGTTTCGTTGCTGCTGCTTGCTTTGTTTTTTTGTCATGGACCTCCGTTCTGACGGGAACCACAGAAAATGAGTCATGCACTCCTCCCACATGATTCCAGGGGAAGTGTGACTCCATGCAGGAGTCACAAAACCCCTGCTCAGATCCTGGGTTGCAGATCCCTGGTCTACAGTAGCTTTAACTACTCTATATGCTACCAGGCTAATTCTTTACCCAAAATAATGCTGATTCCTCCTCTCACCAGTACTGCCACCCTCACTTGGACTTGTTCTGTGGCCAGTGGTGATTACCATATGGCCTCACCCTGAGTTCCCCATGAGGAACCAAGCCCAGGGATGGCTTGATGCCTGGTGTGTGGACCCCTGAACTACTGGTCTGTAGCATCATGAAGGCTTGGAGCAGTCCTCCTGG